TTTCTGCTGTTGTTTTTGCATGGAGTTGAAGCTGTACCCTGCAGTCATGTAAAATACAGATAGGTACGTGAAGTCCTTCACTAGTTTTGGGGGGGTGCATCCATCTCCCCTAATTACAGAGACACATGCCTGGCAGAGGAGCTTTAGAAGAGTGTGTTCATTGAAGGTGCCCAGAGCAGCATGAGTGAAGTGTGGAGGGAGAGGGTAGCTCTCCCCATGGAGGCCAACACTGGGTGCTTTGCCAGAGCCTGCTCTGTCAGACTCCCTGCCTGATTCTTCCAATGCTGGAAGCTGCAGCAAGCAGCAGAGAGCCTGTGAGTGTGAGATTGTGTGTTATCTCCTGCAGCTGCCTTATCTGCCCCTTTGCACAGGGGAGGGCAGTGAGAGTTATGACAATATTGAAAATGAGACAATTTGTTGAAGTTTGCAACTTTCAGCTTACTCTTCTAGTGAATTTAGCTATGGCTACCTCAGTTAACTATGATAAGAAATCACTATTACTAAAACAACATTTAATTAAAAAAAATTTATTTCACACTTCTATACAAATATCCACAGGTAATTTCTAATCATGGAATGATGTAGCATTGCTAGCTGGTATAAAAAACGTTTGAGATAAAAGTATACCAGTGACATGACTTATTTTTCAAGAACTTTCAGTTCAACACTGCCAAGACATTCATGTTCTTAGGCGAGGGCTACAATCTGCTTTTAAATCCAAGGCTATTCATTAAGCTTAGCCTGGCTTCTAAGCCTTTTGGCAAATAAGCTAGAATTTCAAATGCTCAAAAACTGGGTAACAGCTAAATACGTGTGTAAGTGTTCATAAAATCAGGGTCACAACATACTGAGATTATTTAGCGGGAAGAAGAGTAGTCTATTAAATTGATGCACTTTCTATGATGATAACTTTTTAGGTGACCACACCTTCCAAGAAGGTATGTTCAAAGTTAGTAAAAGTAAGACACTTGACAACTGCCCTCCTAGCAGGTTTTTACCCTATGAGGGGAAAAAGTACCAAGAGGTTTTTGCATAGTTCAAATTACCAGCAATTAACATGCATACTTTTCAAGCAGAATTTTGTTTCACATGGAATAAACAATTGTGAACAAAATCTTCATTCTTAAATAGTACCAACACTTTAGAACATGGGTTAAAAAAAGTCAACTCTTTAAATAGTTTTTATCAGCTATGTTAAAATAACTAGATTACTGATAAGCATACAACATTGTAATTCTTCTTTTATCAACATTCAGGTATTCAAGACAATTCAGTAGTCTCACCATGGATCAGCGGAGATCCTTCGTAGTTAAGGTAAGTTAGGCATTTATAGCCTCCTTCAAGTGCTATATAACAGTTGCAGTAGTCAATGCCTTTTGCCAAACAGGAAGTCCTTATGAAGCTGGGAAGCTGTTTCCAGAGAAACTCTCACTTCTTGCAGTAAGTGTAAAACTGGATCTAAAAACCCTACTTCTGCTTGGTGTCCGAATCATTAAATAGTCTGAAGTAATATACAAATCATATTACAAGACCTGATAATTCCTATTACATGAGGTTACAAGTATCAGGAAAAAAAAGCCCCCATACATATCACTAGAGTAAGTATTTACATTTTCAGAAAGCATTGGCACCTTCAGTGATTTATTAAAATGCAGTGAAAGCCTCAGGTCTCACAATCTGAAGTTCAAAAACACAGTGGATTTGAAGGTTCAGTTAAGTCTTTGGCCTAACAGTCAAAGACAACAATTTATAACAAAAATAAATACAAAAATGACTAAAATATATATACAAAAAGTACATCTAATATTCAAGCCTCTCTCTCAAAAAAAAACCTGTGTATATTTGTTGTGAGCAAGAATCACACAATCTGATCTTTAAAAAAAACCAAACCCTATTGCACATGTAATTTAAGGTGATGCTTTTTGTTAAGCCCTAACTACTGCAGCAGGCAAAGTTTATCACTAGATTTGCAGGTCTTTAGATTATACTTGAACGAAGTGTGTTAAGGACACTGTTTATAATGGACTATGCATTGCGGGAAGGGTGGAGAACCTGTCTTGATCTTAACCATGCATTCCTTGCATACCTAGGAAGAAGGTTAGGATCACAGGAAAAGGCCTCTGTAGTGGTTTTGCGTATTTTGCAGAAAAGACCCCAAATCAGCACAGTATCTTCTAAAGTGTGAGTTAGATTTGAAGGGGAAAAGAGGCAGTCTGGCAATTAAATAATGCAAATAAAGTCTGTAGAAGCAATTTTAACTGTGCAAACAAAAGCCTCGATATAAGCAGTAATATCTACAATCAAATGGTGACTGTCCATAGTGTTCATAGGTCTAACTCCATCCGTATTCCATTCGTGAAAAGATTCACCTCTATCTGAACTTTGTGAATTAAAAGAATTTTTCCCTAAGAGTAACTTTCATTTTCATTCCATTTTGTGAACCACTGTTTTGTCTCAAGGTCTTCGCATTTCCCATCTTTGATATGTCGCTCTTCTTTTCGAATTCTTACAGCATGATATTGGGGGACACTGTCTTCGTACCTAGAACGCTGGAAGAACCCACACTGGGGTGGAGAAGAAAAATAGTAAGTTAGGATTAAGTCGCTGCCAAGGTACTACAATTACAGAGGCAGTAAGTTCTTCCTTTGCACAGACATACAGGTAAGAAAATTGAAAACAAAAATATGTAGGCCAAAAATGTAGCATATGTAGCTGTAAAAATGTGAGCTAGCAGGTCTACAGTAGTTGTTCCAGCAGCAGTTGAAGACAAATGGCATAGTCTGACAATCCAGGCACCTAATACCTTAAAAATACTGCCTGCACTAACTTTCCAAATTTGTTTTGCTAGTCTTGTAAGTCTTCTTTATAAAGCTATTCATTCATATCATGAGAGAATTTAATGCTACACAAAGAAGTAGATACAGTTCAGGAAAGCTTGCTTCTCCTGAATCAAAGGTAGGAACATACTTCAGTATCTTCCTGTATGGTGACAGGATTTACCTTTAAAAATGTACAGAAAGATTTCCAGGGCCTTCAAGAAAAGTTATACTAGGGTCTTGTATTTCAAAGCACCATCTCAACTATAGTCATCTGAACGAACTACATGCATTGCAGTATTGGAACATGAGTCATCTTTAGTTTGCCATAGGACAAAAAAACAGACAAAACTTGAAAATTTTGTAATGTGCCACGACACAAGTCTCTCTAGATGAAATCTAGTACAGCTTATTTGTGCCCTGCAATTTCTTCCAAAGCCACTGTAAAAACTGATTTTAACTATTGAGGTATGGACTGAAATTAATTTTCAAAATGAAATGGAGTTATGGCCACAGTGTTACAAAGATGATGATGGGTAGACACTCAACTTTACAAGCTTATGGGTCACTGATGTCAAGATTAAGGTTAAGAGATATTGTGCCATCCGCCTGGCATTAGGTACTGCTAGGGGGGGAAAAAAAAAAGATTAAAGTGGCAGGGCTTTGCTCATAGTATTTGGGAGAATGTGGGTTTTGTTTTGTTTGGATTTCAAAAAAAATATTAGAATTGAACTGAATTTTTTAAAAATTACATCCAGGCACAGACCAAATCTTCACCCATCTCTTAGTCAAGATTTCATTAAATATTGTTTTGACATATTTTAGTTAATAATCCCCCCCCCAATCTCAAGCATCACTTATTAATATAATGTACATGCATGTAATATCTTAAGTTGAATAAAGGTTGCTAGAAGCATAAATCATCATGCATCTAGTAGCTTCAGCAGAGGAAAGTGTGTTCCTAGAAAAGTGTACCTTAGAATTGAAGGAAAACAGGTGTTTCCACAGGAATTAAATTCTCATTATGACAACCCCTTTCATTATAAGCAACGTGTATCTTTTAGCATGCACTAAAGGTTAGTAAAGCAAGTTTATCTATTGTCAACAAACACATAGTCTTAGCTTTAAATCTTAACTCTGCAGTGTTGATTACCATCTCTCGAGCTTAAAAACTGAAAGTTTTGTTGTATTGTTAAAACATAAAAGACTAAAACCCATTGCAACAGATCAAGGTGTTTTCTAAAGAAATAAACAAAAAGCTTTTTAGACCAAGATACACACCCATGTTTGTTCCCATGTGCCAAAAGCTGAGAATCTATTGACAGAATGAGCAAGCAAGTACAATAGTTTGAAATCCAAAAGTTAATAGAACATATGCAGTAAAAGCTTCATAGTTAGCCACCGCAACCACAGCACGTGCCACAGCTAGAAATTAAAAAATATCATCAATTACCAATTACAGAAGTAGATCAATACTATGCATCAGAAGTAAGCCTCTCTTTATCAGATGGCTGAGCATGGATCTCAGCCTTGTGATATGTGGCATCGTAATGATCTTTCTTATTTCTCTTGAAGAAACCACACTACAAGGAAGCAAGGTATTTAGTCAATTTCTGTGGACTGGAAGAAGTCAAACCTATTAAAACTAACTAAAATTAACTCTGAACTATCTTCCCATTATCCCTTCACTGGCCTGGAAAAAAAAAAAAAAAACTGACTCAGCTGTTTCTAGATCTGAGAACTTCTTGGACTAACTCAATCTGTAAAATAACAGAATAACGTGAGGTAAAGAATATTATTTTAGAGGCATGGTGATAAATTTGCAACTTTTTTTTTTTTTTTTAAGAAAAGCTACTATAAAGTATTTTCATAGCAATTAAAGCTGGCTGTGAAGAGCAGAAGGAAGTCTATACAGAAACCTGTTTGTGGACTAGTGCACAGGACAGACAAAAACAGAGCAGGACAAAAATGAGTACTGCTTTGACCTGTACAACACAAGCATTTGTCTTAAACAGATCATGTAACTGTCCCTGAAGTACCACATTTGTCCTTCCTATCATAGCACAGCATTTATCATCAAAAGGAGCATTTCATGCTGTGCATCCACGTGTATGTTTTCATGTGCAGTAAAATGCTAGTAGTTAAAACCTAATGGCCCACCCAAAATATTAATCCATCAGGAAGATTTGCGGGAGGGGCTGGGCATTTATTAGAAAACAAGGAAGTTGGAACTATCCTGTAAGAAATAACCTGCAGCAAATAGTAGCTCCTCAGCAAAGGCAATTTCTGGAGTTTCTCCAGAAGAAGGTACATGACAGAGGATATTCCTCTTCACCTCTTCTTTCCTAATAACCTTCTGCTATCCTGCAACAGCAAACACTGACTATGCCTGTAAAAACTAAGAATAAAAGGACTGCCCTGTTACACTTGGAACCACAATTAATTGTAAAAATAGGTAGTTAGAAAAATAGGTGCTGCTTTAGCTTATTACAATTTAATAAGTAAATTGTTAACTTACTGTTATACACACACTTATTTACTCCTCTAGGGTTTCTAAGATAAAAGAAATTCACCAACACACCGGGCTATGTATTATTTCTGTACCTTTTGGTTATTTTCATCTGCTATCAGTTTAATGGTATGTCTAATGTGAGCAGAACAAAGCTCTTCTAAAACATTTGTAGATAGTTCACATGAAGTTTCACACCTGACTGCAGAAATCCCAATTAGCTGTATCCATCCACACCAAAGTAACTACCGTCTCTGAACATTTGTCTCAAGTTTTGCCCAGAGCTCAAAATACTTCCTTTTGAGGATGTAGAAACAGAAAAATTTCAAAACAAGTCTTCCCCTGTAACCATTTTCATTCCCAATGTTGCAAAACTGAGAAACTGAAAAAGGTAATATATGGGTTTGCTCTATTTTAAGTCCCAAATACAAACCACAATACTGAATCATTTGCTTAATTAGTTTGCTGTCTTGTCAGTTCTAGACCAGGAAATGTAAAATAACCGTATGAATAAAAACTCACCTTCCATAGTAAGAATACCAACAGAGCAAGCATCAGTATTCCAGCAAAAATAGCCACCGCGATGATCCACCACGGAACTCCTGTGTAAAGTGCTACTGGTTTTGCAGGAAACACCGTAACACGCACCTAAAGGAAATAAAACGTGAAGATGGAAAGAGCATTTCAAAGCATCCATGTTTAATATAAAGCTGAAATTTATGGAGTCTTATCGCTTTTCTGATAAGATGTCTTGTCTCTCTCATCTACGAAGTGTTTTTGAAGAAAAAGTTCCTGCTGGTATCATTTTAATCAGGTTGGAAAAATTCACTACCATACTGAAGGTAAAAATGATCCAGTAATTCAAAACTCAGTTAAATAGCTAAACTTCTAGCTACTTTTGTTTTCAAAAGGTTTATTTTTTTTCCCCAGTCTTTAAGATAAGCTGGAAACATCACAACCACAACATATGGTTAGCATTAAATGTTGGACCTACCTGAGCAACTTCATTTGTGAGTTTAACATTCTTGGCTGCAGCAGGAACACTGATTGAAGCCCTAACAAGAACATCCAGGTAGTTCATTTTGGAGTACTCCTGTTACAAAATAAAATACGGACATTAGACACAGAGCAGGAAAGAACTCTGACTTTCCCAAAATGGCAGGTAAAGGACTTACTTCTAAGAAAGTGCTGTTCCACAATCTGGAGCGCAGCACAATAGATGCCTTGCTGTCTAAACCCTTCAGGGGACATTTTATGTCCACACAGCGTGCATTTACATTGCAGTCCTGCAATTACAAATTTCTACGTGTAAATAAAGATGCATCCTCACAAATTGTTCAAACACACCCCCCCAATTAAAAATTGGTTTATATTATTTATGTGCAAGAACCAAAATTTGTTTGTACTGACAGCAATAGAAGAATACAATGAAGATGCTATATATAACCTGTTTATTTTAATGTAAATATAACTATGCAGAATTTTTTTCCTATTTCTCTCTTATCAGTAGATAATCTAAATGGTAAAATTTTAAAAGCATCAATACTTGGATTTAAGATAAAAACGAAGAGGAGAGATACCTTCTTTCACCCTGCCAAACTCAGAAAAGCCCTCTTACGAGTGCAGGGGGAGGTATCTGACAAGGATACAGTTGGTGCAATATACTTACCAAGGTCTTGTATTTTCTTTCTGAGAATAAAGAAAATGTCTTGCTCTCCGTAATCTGCTTCTCTGCAACCTCACGCTTCCTTCGTGAGTTATGGGATTCCTAAAAGAAAAAAAAAACCCAAAGACTAAGAAGAGTTTTAGTAGTTTAGCATAAGTATCTTTTCATTCCCTTAATTCTGACCCCATACAAGCAGAGAAACAAGTTCAGTGAGTGGTTTCTTGTTCTAAGATCAGCAGATGAGTGACATCATATTATATATCCCTACTTATCTACATTTTTTGCTAATAGTAGAGTCAGGAAAATTACTAGAATCTGAGATTACCTGAAGAAAGCTCAACTGACTACTTTCTTTAATAGGTCGGGGGGGGGGTTAGATTTATAAACCTTTCAATGCTATTTCCGTTTTTGTTCTACATAAAAGGTATTAATGTTAGTATGCTAAAAAAATAGGATTGTGCTAAGATCGGTAGGTCCATTTTTTTGAATTGTCTACTAATTACACTCATGAAAAGTTTTATGAACTACTGTTAGTGATCGGACAAGAATGGGTTTATGTGCATGCAGTTTTAATGGTGAAAATCAAAACTCCTCCCAAATGATCTTAAGGATTATATGAAAAAAAGTTATTAAAACAAAGGCTAAGGGTTTAGGAAAAAAAAAAATCTTGCTAGATAGGCACAACGAAGGGCTATGAAACTCCTGCTTGAGAAATTATTTTTATCATACTTGTTGCAAATAAGTAAATCTAAGTGCAAGCCCTTTCTCTTTAAAAAATTACATGGAATCCCCCTGCCCAGGCTGGAGGGATGTTTACTGTTTATTGTTTTCTGTGTAAGAACTTGATCAGATACCAATAATGCTGATGAAATTTGTTAAAGCAAACAGCAATTTCATCCTGTAAAAGCATATGACAACAGTGCGCACTGCAAAAACAGTCACCATGACACAGCATCTATCCTTTAGCATGTTATCCTCATTAGTTGTTATGAAGTCTCTAATTAATCTTAACCCTTGATACACTGTTCACATATTGTGCTTGTGAGCTGCTGAAGGAAAAAAAAAAAACAAAACACAACCCTTCTGGAGGCAAGCTCTTACGCCCTGCTATCACATGCTGCAGTGCTTTCATGGTGTACTAATGCAGGAACAGAAGACAGTAACATACCGCAACATGCAAACTATTGATTTCATTCTCGGGTTGACAGGAGACTTTTTCCAAGCCTTCAGAATCTATTTTCATCAAATAAAGCAGCCATTTGCCATTACTAATTTCTTTCGGCCACTGGATGTCCAGGGAAGCGGTACCAAATGTTTTCAGTGGTCTGCCCAAGTTAGTTACCTGTTAACAAAAACATTTTGTAAACTGATAAATACTTTTTAAAGGGATTTTCTTCTTGATTCAAAGTGTTATTGACTGGGGCAAGTTTTAAGCATGCAGCTAACAGGAAATTTAAAAGCCAAAGACAGTTGAAACAGAGTATAAGACAAAGCATATACTAAAACTAGCACACCTGGGTAGCAAGTAAATACAGGTTTATACATATAAGGATTAAAATTCCCTAATATGAACTTTAAGCTGAAAATAGATTTCTAAAAATAATCAACATGTAAAACAACAACAACTCCAGTTGAGCATTAACAACTCGTTCAGTTACATAACTGAGGCAAATTGCAAGTTTATGAGGAACTCTGACACAGAAAGATAACGAGCTCTTGCTCTCATCTAAGTTGTTTCCCAACTTATTTTTTCCTTTCTTAGTGTTCCTGTTCATGATAGCAAGTTTAAAACAGATACTCGAACTGCTTCGACTTTAATACACGCATGCAGGTACAGAAGGAAGCAAAGCATTGACAGAGATGGTCTTTAATCCTGACAAACTACCACATACAAAGACAGTGGGGCTTGCACTAACGATGTAGAAAAAGCAATGCTCTTGCTGATAAACCACGATTTTTACAGAACAAAAACCATCTCTCTCAGTCTTTTCCTTGATTTGTTAATTAGGCAGAAGACCAAAAGAGTGAAATAGACCCACACAAAGTGGCTGATAAACTGCGATTTTTACAGAACAAAAATCATCTCAGTCTTTTCCTTGATTTGTTAATTAGGCAGAAGACCAAAAGAGTGAAATAGACCCACACAAAGTGGCTCCCACAGTGTCTTGTGCCTGCTCAATCCTGCATGAAGTACTGATACTCACTGTGCACACCAGCTAATACCTGGGCGTGCCGCAGTTAGGGTTCTGGGGTTGAGCACAGAGTTCTATGCTGTACAACTGAACGTGCTCTGGGAAAACAGCGTACAGCCAGCCGCGGGCCACCTCCTCAAAATACAACTGCAAAACATCAAGGCCTAAAGAAGCTCTAGTCTGCAGGCAGACTGCACATTCTAATCAGGAAGTCAGGATGTTGGGACAAGAAAAGCCAATTTTAAATCCAGCAACTTCTCGAAGTATTTATATGCATAAAGAGAGAAGCTGTTCAGTTTATGAAAAGCAGCTGTTGGCATTAATCTAAATTACTCACTCTGAATTCATACTCTATGAGGTTTCCAATATGATCTTCAGATTTCATAGCACTCTCACCAACAATGTTACCTCCAAAATACACCTGAGAAGGCTTAGCGACTCTGTTCAGGTGAGGGTGGGGAAGGAGAAGAATCAGATTTTAATGAAGTCTGCAGCAAAACTGTCGTCCCCAGCCCCCACCATGTGTTATCCTATCAACACTTACCCTGTCAGTGATAAAAGCAATTCAAGAACCACTTTAGCACTAGCTGTAATTGGAGTCGAATTAACTTGAGTGCTTGTTCTACAATGAAAAGGAAACAATGCTGTTTATTTTACAAATTTAGTGGTTTTCACTTTACTATTAAGTTGCTTTAGTGAATCAAAAAATTAACTCAGAATGTTTACAACTGTATATAAAAACGTAGCACACGCGCAGACAAAGAAAACTTACGTTTCCAACTTCAGATTAATGTCCAAGTCTGTTGTATCAACATTAACTTTAGTGGTACTCAAGATCAGATAAAAGGTTACCTAGCCAAGAAAGAACATCCAGGAAATATGTAAAAACTTAATTAAATATATTAATATATGCATCAATAAATTCATCAATTATGAAATATATTAAAATATTTCATCAAGTTCTAGAGTTAAAAAGACAGATCCCAATCAAATTTCCAGTTATGACACACAAAAACTTTGGATGACAGCAGTCAGAAATCAGATTTTACAACTTGAGTAAAACAGGTGCAACTTACATTGGAATTTCTTTTGAAAGGATTTCCAAGTTCACACTCTGCTTGAGAACCATTTTGGTTAGCACCGCATGTTAGTTGTTTTTCCTGAGTAAACAGAATACATTTAAAAGTAAAAATATGCTGAAAATACTTAAAAATGTGAGTATCTTTTCTCTTAAAAATACTTACAGGATAAGCCCTCATCTCCCTGAATGCAGAATATGTCAGACTGTCTGGAAAAGTTGCAATTAGTTTAGCTTCATATGCATCTTCACCATCTTTTTGTGGATTTTTTGCATCAGATGGATTGTTTGTCACTGTTATTTCCAGGGCAATATCTTTCTGATCCTTCAGAACAAGCACCGGCATGCCATTTTCACTATAGAAACAGTGCACAGGGTTGTGTGCATTAGGAAAACAAATGCATAGGAAAGTTTGCTTCTTACTATGGTTTACCAAAATATAATTCCCTCTATTCAGGAAGAATTACTGTAAGACCATAAACACATAAATGGTCATAGGTTTTTTCCCCCAACCAGCATTTTGTCTCTGGCAGTGGCCAGCTGTTAACAAGATAAAGCAAAGTGACATACCCCTCAAGTACTCAAGAGTTTACAGTATTTCTGAACCAGCACTTGCATCTGGCTCATGTTTAATAGTGATGCATTTTCTCTAAATAAATCTGCTGACCTACTTTTTTCTTGTGAAGTATACATGGTTTTGGCTTCTGAGTCAGATTGTGGCAGTCACTGCTAAAGGTGACTTGACTGTGGACAGTAAGTAAGCATACTTCCATCTGTTTGTTTTACATCTCCTTTCCAATGTCAGTGGCCCTCCAGGGAGGAGGGATGCAGTGGGGCATTAGGTGCGTGTTACGGTGAAATGGTTTCTCTGTTCACTTCTCTAACTGCTTGTCTTTGGCCACTAGACTGTAGTACATCATGTTGTCATACTCGCAGTCAAATTTCATCTCAAAAATAGTTAACAGTAGCACACACAAACTACTGCAGGGCTGGTTTAGAATCTCATTTCTCCAGGGGTTAGAAACTTTTTTCCTGACTTTTAGCCCAGACCTGGCCACTTTGTATCCATCTGACTCTGTGCCACCTCTTCTAAAGCTCACCCCCAATCACCCTGACAGGTCAGTACTACTACACAGGGCTCTGTGTGCCAGGCAGATACTCCCGAACCCCTCTCCTAAAAGTTCTTTAAAGTACTTGTAATTTGAATTTTAGCAATGCCTTAATCAGGGCTTACATTGGTAAGTAAGTAAACCTGTCTTCATTTCCTTCTCTAGCGCAAAACCGGTACTGAAGTTTCAGATTGCTGTGACATTCATTGTCTTCTCCACATCCTTCTTTTAAGAACTCCACCTAAATAAAACCAAAGCACTTTTACGGCATGCCACATGATGCTAGGTTAAAACAAGATTTCTGACGTGCACAGCATAAAGCACCTACAGGGAACTCAGAGACCCTTTCCTGGATAGAGTAAGATTTTAACCTCTTACTTCTTGCCTGTCAAAACAGTTTTTCTTTGTGAGACATAGCACTTGATGCTGATAATTTAAAACTTTAAATGTGACTAAAAGGCAAAGTTAGGTAATTCTAAGTGAGAGGTACTCTTCTAATGCGGAAAAACATCCTTAAGTCTGATTCTTCAGTGAGCGTTGAGGAAATGAGATGTTTTACCCAAGATGTTCCCTCTCTTTTACATCATTGCTGCAGAGCTCAATGCTGTTACAGCATCCTAACCATGGAAGAATGGTAATATTGTGACGTGGGACAAGTGTTCACAGCAGGAGACGATGGATTTCCACTTTGAATCAAAAGTACGCTCCCTCCGAAACTTGTTGGGGAGAGAAACAAAACGTAGCAGCTGTATCAGCTTCACTTTTGTTGCAAAAGAAACAGGATCTAGTTCAGAACATTATGTAACAAGTTCATAACAAAATATAAGATGTAAGCCAGCAGTTACAAAGCCAGTGCCATGCCAGTTATTTCCTTTGGTCATAATTTAGCTTTCTACAGTCTAAAATTCAGTGATTTATTGAAGTGGAAAATGTGATAGCAAAGGCTTACTTTTGTGGTCTTTGTTTCAGATTCATTTGAATTTAGAATTGGTATGAGATCCGGAAGCGCTCTCTCTTTTTTTCTGGATGGTGAGCTAGACTCCAGGCCAGCAATTTTAACACTGACTGATACTGGAATGGGGCGTAGCTTATCTTTAATTTTTTCCTGTTAAAATATTTTAAATGGCATAGTAAGTGTACAGTGCAAAGAAAAACAACACAAAGAGTAGCTTTTGAAATACATTTTAGAACAAGCAGGAAAGCAAAATCTTTTCTGCTACATTTTGCAGTATTGAAACTACTCACTGTATAGAAACCCAGCATTTTCTAAAAATGTGCAAGAGACAAGGAGCCTAGCCATACTGTCTTTTCCACCCCCCCCAATCATTTTCCATCAGATTCACAATCTGATGATTTCTCTCGCCATTAAGAATTCCTAGGAACAACAGATGGTAACTCAGGCAAGTGAAATTCACACTACAATAAATTAACACACTGTCTCCCTATTGCATAAGTTCAAGCTCTTTAATTTGCTGTGGTCAAAAGCAACCTTGGAGGCTCATGACTGCTGAGCCACTGACGGAGAATTTGTTCAGCTCCTGGAGCAATGCCACCTGTGAAGGCCAGTGTAGCAGCCAAGTCAGAGAGCACATCCCAAGTTTTCTGCCCTGCCCATTCATCCCTTCCCAAACCCGTGGGTTAAAATTCTTTTCCTAGGCAGTCACACTGGTAAATTTGATAACAATTACTTCTGTTGGAAACAGCTCTCCATTTTTGGCATTTTTTTCCCCTCTCTCATTCTAAATTAGTTCAGCTCTATTGACCTCCAGAGCATGCCACAGTGGCTACAACTTTTATTCATACTTTGTAAGAAAGGCCACAGGAGGAAGCAGCATGCGTGCAGGGAATAGTAAGGTACTACTTAACTATGGTCACTTTCTAGTTGTGAAGCTTTATATTGCATGTGACTTAAGTTATATACAAAGGTACCATAAGGCTGAAAACAGAGCATGCTTTTGTTTCAACTGGATCTAAATAAAATAAAAATAACATACTCTGCCTTACCTGCAGTACAAGCTTGGTTGTCACACACTCTTTTGAGTTCTGCCCCCTTAGGGTTGTACTTGCAGTGAACTGATCAGACAGGTGGTCTTTGAACCGTACCCTAGACGGCAGGCCCAACTGCCTCCTCTCGTTTTCTGCTTCAAATGTATAGTTGATCTCTATATGAAGAAATAAAGTAGGTCACTATAAAAAAGAACCCTTGCCTTATTAAAAAGAACTTTAATTCCTCCAGGTATGATCTTGCATTATTCTAGAAGACCGTTTCAGTGCTGGGCTTCACAAACTGTTTTCAGTTCTTTGCAAGACTTTCTCCACCTGTCAGTTGTGTCCCTCTCCAGTTGAGGGCCAGGTACCCTGTGCACAGATCTAAAGGAAACTTCTAACTCGAATCCTCCTAGTCCCAAAGTACCCCCACTACTTTACCAGCCTGCAGAGCTGGCCTGAGCAGCTGTATTTGCAGCTGTGGAGCCAGCAGAGGGCTGAGATACAAGACGTCATAAATACTCTGACTCCACTGCCTTGATTTCCGTTTTGTCCCAAATAGCACTTAAGCAGCTAAGAGACGTGAGAAACTAATGCTTCACATTTTTAACTATATTTATGGCACAGTCTTCCAGGCTCCTATTAAAACAAAGATTTTTTTATTTCAGTTACTGATTTCCACAAAACCATGAATACAGAGCACTGTGTTATAGGGTGAGTCTCCAATAAGAAATAATACTTACTAATGATAGATAAAATGGGCTTTAAAAACGATTTTGTAAAGCAGCAGTAACCTAGAGAGGCAAAATGGTTTGGGTCTGTGTGGCAGCCATTTGCTCCCTGGCAGTTATATTACCTAGACAGCTTCAGTCTGTCATCCAGAGAACTTCCTAACACACCAGCATGACTCTGAGTACATGTTACTCTGAATACAGAGAGTGTGATAGCTGGTTGACCTTAGCATTGAGTCACATTTTAAATCTGACAGTCTCAGCCTGAGGTGAGTCACTATAATTTGAGTGCTATTTTTCCATGATATGCTCTAAAGAAAAAACAAAAACCACATGACAAGCAGATCAAAAATATTTATCTTCTAAACTTACTTATTCTTGGATTTAAATCACTGGGGTTTGCAGTATACTGAAAACATGCTTTCACATCCATCCTGTAAAAAAAGTGTCAAGAAATTTATATTAACTTTAATAAGGCACAGTCCAACAGACTGAGAAGTTATATTGATATTATCAGTCTTAGGACTGTGGTTTTCATGCTAGAACAGTGATTTGCTGCTTACTAAACTGAATTACAAACTAAGAAAAAATGGTTAATAAGCAATTAGAAAAATATTTTCTGGCATTTGCTCTTACATATCTACTCATGAGAAAGCTGTTCAAGTTAAGATACTTGTAAGTGTTAAAACTCTTAAGTAGCAAAGTTATGTTAATTTTCAAAAATTGCCATTATGACCAGAACATACTCCACACCTTGTCTTCAGCACAGCAGTCAGAGCAAATTGAGGAAGTCAACGTGATCACATGTAGATACATTTGCTTAACCTGCATGACTGTCGCATCCCCTCACTTTAACACCATCACTGACCAAATTTTGACAACAGAAAACTCAATACACCACGGCTTCTGATAGAATTTTTTTTTTTTAATTTACCATATTTCACTAGGGTCCTCAGGGTTCTTTTTCTTTAGATCAATCCTGTCAGGCTGTACTGTAATGCTGCTTCTAATGCTGATCACAGGCCGAGATCTTCATTTGAGGACAAGGGTAAAAAAAAAAAAAAAAAGGAAAAGTTTCTGTTAAGATGAATGAAATAATTCATGAGAATGGCAGATGCCCTCCATGCCTGCACTGACTTGCAGCAAAGACACCCCAAGAAACACAGAGTTTGGCTTTGATAATGGTTAGAAACAAAACTACTTAAAGCCAAGCAAAGCAAGTCACAAACGCGACTACTATTGTACTAAATGCCTGACGGGTGCAAGGTACATGAATGTGATGTTGGGGTTGTCATTTTATACACCTATAAAACCCAGAAAATTCAACGTGATGGTTCCCACCCCAAAGTGAACAACTGTAGGTACTGAAGTTTATTCAGATTCATGTTCACAACAGCTTTAACATGGAGGCTGGGTGGCTGTGGGAAACAATGTTTTTATTCCCAAGTGCTCTACAAGTAGGTTGCAACTGTCATTCAGCCTGACAACTTTTCCTTTCTTTTCCTTTTTGGAAGGGACAAGAAAAGACAGCTCACATGAACAAATGAATGAGCTGATCCTGCTATCGTCAAAGCATCTAAGGGTTGTTTAAGGTGGCCAGGAAGGCACCTCCTCCTTTTCTAGCACATGTAACTGGGCCACCCTTTTCACCATTCGTCCCCATAAAGGTTTTCGTTCTTACCTTTGTAAAAGTTTTTGTACAGCCCTTATCACCAAATGATTTAAAGCTCCTTTTGAGTAAGCAGAACGCTTAATAATTTAACCAACTTCCATTCCTCCTACTCTGTTCTCTTCCACGTGCAATATGAGTTGCTTTGTTGGGTGCTGTTTCAGCATATTTAAGAACATGCCAATTATGTACACAGATCCTCTACTCCTTGGAAATGTAGGAAAGATCGAGTTGTTTTCATCCCCAAAATTGAGATAACCAGTTTTGGGAGTTTCTGCTCCTCCTCCTTTGGGACCTGACAGCAACCACCAAAGCTTTGAACTTGATGCAGGCTTCACAGCTCTGATGAGGAAACAGTCCTCTTCTTGCTCATTACTAGTGAGTCAACTTTACATTAAGCTGGAAAAAAGCAGAGGTCTGTAAAAGACTGTGACCTCTCCCCTAATTAAGGCATGTGCTACAGAAATCCACAAGGACCCAATCTGCAGGGCTTCCTCAGAGCTGTCACGGACCTCCCTGCAACCTCAGCAAGGCCGCATGCCTCACTGCTTTTGGATCCTCAGCTATGAAAGAAGGGTTTGGTTTGGTTTGATCTTCAATAAAGCAGGTTAGATTTATGCAACAGCAGCAAACAAAAACTCTAGCAAACGCATCAGTTAACTTCTCATTTCTTAAGGCAAAAGAATTACTTCTCACCCTTAATTCCATCAAGGGACACGGGCATTCAAGTGAGTTACCAGAGGGCAAAGCAGGTACCACACTCATCACCCTCTTAGCTGGTGCTGACAGTGAGGCAGCTTCTCAGTGAGAAAAGGAGAATAAAATAACAAAGCAATTTACTGAATTTTTTCCCCCCAGAATTTCTAACTTCTAGAAGGAAAAATACGCTTCAGGCCAAACAGCTTTTTCTTACTTCTGAGCAATTTGGTTTTAAAATAATAAAACCAAAACCTTGGTGTAATTAGTTACAGTTCTGTATGTACCTGAACACAGATACAGAATCTGAAAGGGAACCAACAGCAATATCGGGGTAGGAATTTTTATCCAGGTCCATGTTTCCAGCAATAGAGTAACCAAAGAAATTGGTGCCTGTTTTTTCACCATCAAGAATCTAAAGAGCAAACAGATAGAGGGAATTCAGACATTTAAAAGCTGCAAAAGTGAAATAAGTAACAAGTGAACATCACTGTCTTATGGCCGCGGGTGGGGAGGAGAAGAAAAAGAGAAGAGATACAACGAAACAGGACGTCTGTGTTCAGGTAAATGACACTGAAGTGCCAAGAACATTTGCTTTTCTTCCAAGAAGTTACTGTGCAATAGCAGTGAGTACCAGAAATGACTGTTTTGCACAGACATGTTGCCTAGCTTATTTTTATTTATAGTATTTATGCAGTATTGGCGCTTGAAAATAAAAAAGTATTCTAGAAAGTATTCTAGGAAGTGTAATCAAGTTCCATTTTCACCTTGCAGACTGAACACAGTGGTCCTCAAGAAAAAATAAAAAGGCGCAAATATTTTTTTATTAAAAAAGTGAAATAATAATAATAGTGAAGTAATAGTAATGAAAGAGTAAACAAATTCTTTTCAAATCCCCAAATTTCTTTCAAAAAACTAAAACCTACACATCTACATGCCTTTTCCCTTCTCTACATATCACTGGTGCCAAAGGACTGTCCCAGAAAGAAAAATGTGTATTAAACCCAAGAAGTCCTCACCTTTCTGGTCAGCAGTGCCGTCTTTGAAAGGTCCTGTGACTTTTCTGCATACCCACCACCCCACTAATAGTAACGGAATGGGAGAAGATGGATAGCCCTCTCATTTCTTTATTTTTGTGCAAGACTAATTATATATAGTAAAGGTTATTTCATTACCTGTGCTGGTTTTGTATTTATTCCATTCTTGGATCCATGGTAAATGTATACTTTGCCAAAACCATCATATGGTGCCCCTACTGCAATATCTGTTGAAAATAAGTTGCAACATGTAAAGTCATGCTCGTTTTTCCTGCAGCTTGCAATCATGATATGGGCAAGATGTTCCAACTCTGGCATTACCAAACAAGTCACAATTTTATTGGAATCATTTGTCACTCACCCAGATATCCATCCTGGTTAACGTCCCCAACATTTTCAACTGCAAGACCAAACATGGAGTCAGTGGTTCCATTCAAGCGAATAGGCGTTACTCCTTCCCACTTGCCTTGCCGGTTAATGTAGATGTATACAGCACCGCCAATATCTCCACTTCTGTCAAAATACTGCGGGGCTCCAACAACAATGTCTTGCCATCTTAGAATTAAAGAAAAAAAAAAAAAAAGCAGTGCTGTTACAGAACAACTGTGGAAAATAACAGATCAGACGGAGGTCTCAAGGTCAGCTAGCCAAGGAGCTGCTGGACAAAGACTAAAAAGTACATTGAACTGGCTGAGCAGCAACAGCTCCACCCATACCACAAGCTGATTATATTCCCTTTGTGACATACAAGGATCTCCTAGGGCCTGCTTTGGGTGCGAGATCTGTTTCTTCTTTCTTTGTTTACACTAGTTGTTTAAATTTTAAAGCTCTTTTCTATAATTAGAAACGTAGACTGTGTCCTGACTGGATCTCCAAGATGGTCGCCATTTCCTCCAGGAGACCATAGCAGATGGGATTTGGCATTCCCTGTATTTCTTACATGACAAACCAAAGTGGAAATAAACCGGATCGCTGTGCGTCATTATGCCGGCAGCAGGAGTTAACCTAGGCCATACCCGTCGTTGTTGAGATCCACCACAGCAACATCATAGCCAAAAGAAGAGGCCAGCCCTTCTCCTTCAAACATGTGCTCGAGCGAAAGCGCTCTCTGATTTTTCTCTTTTTTCAGTAGAACAACAGCTCCGCTGTGGTTGGCTCTTGGGGCACCAGACACAAAAGTCATCTCATCTTGGGAGACAATTCCTTTACCAGAGTCCAAAGAGAAACCTTTAATAGAGAAAGAAATAAACTATAAACAAACAAACAAAAGCTTGTATGGGTCATCGGAAAAATAAATTTCCCCTACTATATTAAAGTGGTATATTAAAGTTTTGTCTAGAACAGAATATGATACACTGGGAATTCTCTGTTTCTATTTGGACAGGCAGATGCATGTTCACAAGTCCACACTCCTCCATACATTACATTTCAGTATTTCCCCACAAAACAAATTTCATTGCTCCCTCAGATCTACTTTCCACGGACACCAAATACAAGACCATTTTTCAACATAGCAGCTTAGAAATGACTACACCTTACCACTTGAATATAGCTCGAGTATTTCACCTCTGGCAAAATCATTCTAAAACTTCCTAAGTACAAGTCAGTCCCATTCCATTGCAGACATGCACAGCGTACTGCAGGCGCACAGTAGTTTACAGGAATGATGTATACAGTATTTGAGAATCACCTTACACAGTAATGGTGAAATTGGCCCTTTTGATTTTTACACAGCCCTGAAGGACAGGTTCAAACAAATTTAGTCTTATATATTCTTTATAAAAGTCAATACATTTTAAAAACCATGAAAAGCTGAGTTAAAAGAATAGAGTGCATACACCAACATATCCAATAAAGGCCAAAGTAGAAAATTACGCACATTGCAAGGAAGAAAGATACTAGTCAGCAGATAGAAATCTGCCTTCTGAAACACTTCACCACTACTATGAAAATTCTCAATTACAGCAATGCACGATGAGACAGGTTCAGAAAAATTCAGGGAGTCCCATCTGGGGGAGAGATGAGAGGGTTTGGAGGAATGCATGAAAAATCAGTGTTTCTCTGAAGCCATGTTACTTTGCAAGCTACTCTTCATCTAAATCCCTGGTTTTACATGCTTTTACTTGTGATGTATTTGAGATGAGGGGGGATGGAGGGGGGAGGATCATGTCAAAGGTCTGGAGATTACATCTGACCAGATGCTGCCACCTCAGGTGGTCACAAACCTAAGTAGCTATTCATCGTGACATCCACCGATCTGTCCACCTGTATGCCGGGAGGCAATGTTTTGTATACAAACTGATCTGGATGGGTATCAGATACAGCTGTCAAAAACAGAAGACCTGTAAACACGAGTGAAAGATTGAAGAGAAAAAAATAGTATTGAAGCAAAGCAGCTATAACCATGTTTGTCTACTGTCTAAACAGAGGGAAGAGCAATGCCAGTGAGCAGCAGGCTTCCTGGGAGTGGGTTTGATTCTGACAAATCAAAGGCAACATTTACCTTGAGGAGATAAAAAGTCAGTATTGCTCTGTTCACAGCAAAATACACTTCCTCAGCACTCCTCTCCTTACCAATTCTGATTTCACTAGAAGAGGCTATCAGCTGGTCTTTCTAGCATAAGCTCTTATGATTATTTTTTTTCTTTTTTATACCCTGTAATTACTGCTGATACTTAACCGAAGTTTATGTTCCATTTCTTCTAACAGATATGTAGCTCTAAGTTGGCCCTTTTCTTGACTTGCTTTTACTTTTTGTATTAGCAATGCCCTTCCCATCTATTCAGCTTTGCACCACTCACACAGAAATTCCAGTTTCAAGTTACCAAAACTGTATTTGTTGTACGTGCCAAAAGCAGTGGATCGATACACCGCAGAAATCTGTGCTACAACAGGAAGGTTCTCTACACTTTACACTTCAGGCCTTTCTAAAAAGGAAGCGTAGCCTTTTCTCTGTGCCAGCTAACATATCTCACTGTGTACAGTAACATCCGCTGGCCTAAGGATGTCTTTCTGCTTTCGTACTTGCACAAAGCGCAAGAGACTCACCTCCTGCAACACACACACACAAAATATAAACTCTACTTATATGATGGTATTTTAAAGGCCCATAAAAAGGCCACTGGAGTTTTAAAAACTTGAATAAAAAATTGCACTCAACTACCAGGAGAGAATAACAGTTACATCGAGGAACTCAAATTTTGATAAACTCTGTGATACCACATGGCAGAGACCTTGTGACTGAGGACCCCAGATCTGTACACCATACTTACCATTGGAATGATTATAACCACTCCTTCAGATTCGGTAGATCCTCATCACAGCTCTTAAATCTCTCATTACATTAGCAGCTCTTCTAGGTACCTCAGAAGAGTACCAGCTTAAACTTACAACTGGCCCATACGTGTGGAGGGAGATGTGAATTATCCAAAATTGTTTAACAGGTCACAGGGTCCACAAATGCAGGATTTTCTGCTCCCAGTTCATATAATTGCACCAGGCTGGGATCACAAATGTTTAAGAAGCCTCAAGGGATTTACTGTATGTACTTATTCCTACCTAAGTAACTGTTAGCTGGAACAGGAACTAGATTCTTATCTTGGCGGCTCTCATCACCAACTTCGTACGGCCCATCATCAAAGATACCCAGATCATAAAAAGTCTGATTCTTTTGCTCTGCACGAACCACCCCTGAAGAAATGAAGTGATAAAATAAAAGCAAATGAATGGTAAGGGAGAAAAGTAACAGATAAATGGTTTCCAACTAATATAAATTATGGAGAATGAGATAGTGACTGAAGCGGTTTCAAAAGGCAATGAATTTCCAAGTTCTAGCTGTGTCAGAATCTGGCACTGCTCTACAGGGAGGCCATGCAATGATCTGGAAAATGGGATACTAAGAAAATTCTCAACAAAAACATGGGACCAACTTGGCTAGGAACCACTCTCATCCCACAGTTGTTAACTTCATAAAGCCTCTCTTACAAGGGAGGTGAGTACACAGGAACACACCACAAAAAAAAAATTACTGTTCAGCTATGACAAACACTAGTGATATATTTAGAAAATATTATTTAAGGGGAAAAGAGCTATTGTTCGATAAAACGTGTGCTTCCCTTTCATCAACAGGCATTCCCTTTCATTTAACATTTTGGCAAGCACAAACATGTTTTTCCATGATACAAGAGTACTCTTATGACTGATATACTTAGCACTTCTCTGCATAAAGCAAAACAGCGCCTGAACTCAATATGCTGTTTCAGCTTGGTCAGATTTTGTGGACAGATACGTGGAAGATTAAGTTCTCGCTAAAGTACACCTTGTGCCAGAGCTTAATTCAAAGATTTTGCATGGTTCATATAGCAGGCACAGGTGTACGAGCGGAAAAAATGTTCCAAGGATCAGATGTTCTAAAAGGGAAGAATTTACAGCTGTTGGCATAATGAAGTGTGACGGGAAAAAAACGCATTAAGAAAGAGAGACAGAGCTGGTCACTTAGATGCTTCTCAGTATAAATTAACAGTGAAAATCTATAGGTTTTTTTCCCTTAAGTTTTGGAATATTTCCTAGATGATACAGAGTACTTGGCTCTTAAACAGATTATCCATGGATTTAGATATGAAAAGATGTAGTATTGCTCTGTTATCTACCCACAATCCTCCAGTATTTAATTTGGGAAGTACTACTCTCCACAGACTTCACAAAGAACAAAGTGGAGAGTACTGCAGGACAAACAAAGAATTCAGTGCAGCTATCTAACATTTGCTCAAATGCAGCAAAAAAGGTTGGTCAATTAACCTTAAAATAATTTAGTAGTTTGTTCCAATACGTAAGTCTCAAAGCAAGCACTCAATCTCCATGAGATTAAGACTAATAAGGGGAAAAATTGCTGTACCTATGTGCAAAGTTCCCTTATCCATTCATAAGTACTCCCTCAAAGACGTTTAAAGGCACTTCAGTAAATACTTTTTGTTCAGAAACATAGCATTTTGTGAAAGCAGGGTAAAATAATTAGATCCCTATTATCCCCTCCCCCATCCACAAAAAAAAAAGAAAATTTAAAATCTAGGATGCAACTCTTGTGAGCAATCTCAGAGGAAATGGGAAGGGCAGGCAGGAAGGAAGCTAGGTCGTACCTTTCCAATTGTAAGTGCCTGGGGCACCAAACACAATATAATGATAGTCTCTAGTAAAAGTAGCAGCAACACCTTGCTGACAGGAACCAAACTTCTCATGGCCTCTTAAACGACCATCACAAAAACTCCACACTCCATTATCCATATCATCCTTAATAGTGAGATCCTGGCTCAGCACATAGCACCTTCCAATGATATCCCGGGTTTCCTGCACTGTGTTTACATACTGCCTTTTCTCATAGCGATGTGCACATGTCTGCAAGACAGAAGAAATAGTAAGTGATGCTTTCTGTATATTTATATGCAAGTCATAAAGAAGGCTGGTCCCCTTTAGCAATACTTCATGCTAGCCATGCTGTAAATCAGTCACCTTGTAGACACATCCATGTTGCAATGCAGAGAGCCCACTGTTCCCTGCGGGCAATGTAGGGAAGAAGTTGGGCATCCATAGGTACAAGTTCGAGCAACCAGCATCATGGTCAAGGAAGGCCGCATGGTTAAATCCCTTTTCTCTATGGGATTCAGGGTTTAGCCCTACTGCCTTCCCTGATACCTAGTCCCTCTCTTTCAAGAAGTGAGGAGAACCACTCACCCTCTCATAAAGAAAGAAGTGGCTGTGTTTCCCCGCAGCTCTCAGAATTAAATGACAATTGTGCAGGACACAAGCTGTTCAACTACAGTCTACCTGAGACTATTCAGAACTCACGCCTTCCAGCAAAGTGCCACAAAGTGGAGGCTGAAAGCTTTTCCAGTGAAGGGGAGGGATATCCAACTTCCTGTGCTGGGTGTTCCACTTATGGGATAACCGTCACTGGGACAGAGCAGCAGCACTGAGCACAGCCTGTTCCTTAACCTTTTACACTGTTCACCTGGGAACAGAATTCTAATCAAATATTTAACACAAAGAATGACCAGCTACTGGGTTAACTGGTGTAACCAACAAACCATTGTAAAAAGAGGTAGAATAATCAAACCCCTTTGCCAGCAGCATTTTTTGCAGAACCAGATGTAGCAAGTGTGTGAAGAGCAGAAGCAAGCCAAGTTTCTCAGCTGACATATCTTTTCTATCATTCCTATCAAGGCTTAAATAGTAAGCCAACACCCAGCTGCTCCACACTCAGAGCACTGCAGTACTGCCCTGCTGCACAGTGACCTTCAGGCTGCCCACACTTCATCTAATGTGCGTTTCCCACTTACCACTTACAACTAAAAGTTCCTTCTCAGAAAAAACAAGACAGCAGTAGCTGATGATTAATTATTCAATGAGCAGGACTCTTTCCATCTGCTCTTCCCCGCTTTGGGTTCTGAGGCAGACTGATGCAAGTTATTACTGCCTCTAAATCCTTAAATAACTCCAGATTCATACCCTGAAGTCATCTGCCTCCAGTTTTGGAAGCAGTGATATTAACCTGCAAGAATGTAATTAGATGGGGAAACTTCACTGCACGTGCATTTTATGATGTAGCTGGTATCCTGCAACACCATGAGGGGTTTATTTAACTGAGAAATAGCTAAAAATATAGCACTGAGAAATAGCACTGAGAAAGAGCTAAAAAAGTTATCATTCTCAGGTAACTCTTGAAAGCTTTTTCTGTGTTGCATAAAACAAAGAATAACTAGTAGTCTTAACTGCAGTGCAGTGGCCACATTAATTCATAGGTGCAAGTCAGCCAAAGTCCCTGATGAAAGTTAAAGTGAGGCTGATCATCTTGGAAAACAGGCTGATGATAGCCTGCTACTTTTACCACCTTATCACACTGTTTTTCCCTATTTCTGTAGCCAGTGCTATTTAAAAGAAATAATGTGTATATCACAAAAAAAAAAAAAAAAAAAAAAAAAAAGAATTGGGCACCCAGAAAATAAACTGTCCATCTTAGATTGTTGTTACAAAGGTTATAAAGCAAGGCTAACTCACAGTTAGAACACTAATTTAAAGCTTTTACAATCTCAAGTGTTTTACTTTGCTAGGGAGCCATTTAAGTCCTTACAAGAAATCACAGGAGTAAACATGGTAAGGTTACCTTTCAGAAAGCTACAGAGAAACACAGACCATTCAGAACATTTACCATAGATCCAAAATGTTTTTTAAGTTAGTCATTTAGACTTACCACCACATTTCCTCCTGGCCCCTGACTTTGCACAGTTACACCCATCCATTGGTCTTCTTTACTCTCTGTCTTCGGGTCAGCTGCAGAGTATCATAATACAGCTTCAAATATTGTTAAGTACTTTTTTTTTTTTTACTTTTTCCCCTTCCTTTTTTTTTCCTTTTTCCCTTACTTTTCCTTTTTTTTCCTTCCTTCCTTTCCTTCCTTTTCCTTTTTTTTTTTCCTTTCCTTCCTTTTTTCCTTCCTTTCCTTCTTCCTTTCCTTCCTTTTTTCCTTCCTTCCTTCCCTTTTTTTTTTTTTAAAGTCCCTATCAGGACAGGCAGTTCATATAGTACATGAGAAAGTCTGCAGGTGGCAGTGTCTGTACATTTTATCACTGACAACATCCATTTTATTAAACACTTCTGGTTATGTATAAATCCATAGAAGCAGCTGTCTGATATGCTGCATTTGGAAAGGACCACATCAAGTAAGAAAACTGTTTCAATGTAAAACAAAAGTGCTGAAGAACTTACTCTCCTCATCAAATATGACACGTGTGCAGCGTGTATTTGGAGATGTGATGTCACAGCTGTACAACCCTCCTGTTCTGTTGGCTTGTTGGGATGGAAAGGCCTTTTCCCGTGGAGCTCCAACCAGCAACCTGCAGGGAAAAAGAAATAATTTCAAGGGATTTGCAGAGGTAGTATCAGAAAAAAGGAAGGCAGCAGAATCAGGAAGTGTTTTTACCACGTTGCTAGGTTTGACATACAACCATTTGAAGATGGATGAAAAGCTACATCACAAAACTGTTCCTTAAAAAAAAAGGGTGGGGGCTGTAAACCAGTAATAGTTCTGCAATTATTGGACCTGCAAACCAGTAAATGTATTGTTATTACTGCTATTATTGTTGCAATGTTCACTGACAGTGGTTGATAAAAAAATCAGGGAGTCAAGCGGGGTATTTTTTGCCTTGCAGAAATTGTTGGTAAGGGTGGGGAAAAGTACTGTTACTAAAATGACCAGAAACCCCCAAAACAGTGAATACAAGTGCTTTCAGACTTTCTTCTAGTTGTATGCCAGTCCTGTGCCACTGTTCGGCTGAATTTACAGGCACCTTAATATCTCTAACCCGTGAAACAAAGCAAGATCCCTCCTGGCCCAAGCAAGTGTTCACTGAACTGTTCCAGGCTCTGTGCAAAGATGCACTCCCCCTCTCCACTCCTTTGGCCAGATACTCCATTTCGAAGCTGATAATGTTTTTCTGCAACAAATCTCTCATCAAGAACAGGCCATTCCCACAGAGGACTTATTTCTCCTGTAAAAAGGCCACTCTAGACACTAAAAAGCCCTCCTTAGATACTGTTCTGGTAACCAAATGTGAAGGTTCTTACTTTAAAAACTGAATAAAGCAATTTTTTTTCCTGTATCAACTGTCCCCCATGAGTATTATCACAAAATCACCAGTAGACATATTTACTTGCAAAATAAAGGCTTTCAGCCAAAAAAATTCTTACATTGTCCATTTTTCTTTGAAGTGTCACACACAAAGGACAGCTGCCTCTTGAGCTAACTGAAACTCGTAACAACCATTTGTCCTCATGAAGGTAACCCCCTACATGGCAAAAACTTCAGGTAAAATACTTGCTTTTGACGGATACATATATAAAATCAGGACACACAGTTTGAGTGGGTTTTGGTTTAAAGTGTTTCCTTCTTTTCCCCCTACATACGTCTGGCATCGTTTTCAAAGATTTTTTCAGAAACACAGCAGCCATCACAAGAGTTTGTAATCTAAACAACCACACTTTTAGGAAGGCCATTAATAACTTCATTTTCTAATTTTGGCAACAGTGCATTTAACTCTAATCTCTTAGAGTAATTATTTTGCAAAGCATCTGTTTCTGAGCTATTCCTAACGTAGGAATAGATGCATTTTCTCCTCAGTTCTGTTATCCCCCAGGGAAAGACGAATGGGAAATTTTTTATTTTTTTTTTTTAACATTAACAACCATAAATTTAAGGAAGCAGAGGCACTGGTTTTGTAATGAATAGAAACTTTTATTATTTCTACTTTTTCATTCAAAGCTTGGGGGGTAAAACTGATGTATTGAATTTCACTTACAGAAATTAGATCAGAAATCTTTTGTTTCAACATTGTGAATGCAACTAAAAGCTTCTGGAACTGAAATATTTGATTTGGTTTAATTCACCCATCTGCAAACTACTGACAGCAGTGGTGCTAGATCAAGCAAATTACGACCCTGTGTTTTTATATGGGATAACTAGAATATATCCTCTGCCTAGCTAAATGATACCTTTTACAACATACTGTGATGTGACCATCATCTTGCTGACAATTCAGCCACAGGGAAGACCTATGGAGCTATCAGGGAATAAACAGCATAGCCAAGAGAAGACAGAGTGGAAAGATGTGCCACCTGACGTAAGATGCCCCAAACATTCAATGGCATCTCAGACACCTGTTGAGATCAATAGATGAAAAATGCAATTGTTCAGCCTTCCTTAAAAAAGAAAAAAAAAAAAGTGTTGATCTCAAAGGAAAGAGGCAGCCTTAGGTTTTCCCCAGTGCCCAAAACCCCTGTCCAAATCTTGCATGAGTTATTTTCCCCTAATTTTGCCTAAGTTATTTTCCACTGTGAACAAAGTATTTCAAAGCAGACTTATTTAAAACACTCCAGACTTCAAGAACGTTTGTCAGGAATCCTGTCAGTAGTCTTCATCAAACACAAAAATCTTGAATCCTGTTCAGTACATCACTGCAAGTCCTTATTCACAACACAGTTCAACAGTAGCACACACTATGAGCAGGTGCTTCCAAAGGATTACATCAGTTCAGGTAGATACTATGGTAAACACTGAAATGTATTTTCAAGCAGCAGCCAAGGATGTGTTAAAAAGTGGCGTAACTCCTTTGCGCTTCTTCACTACTTACCTGCCCCAAAGAACAGAGCAGAGAAGACTAAACCTATGCTGCCAGGTTCTGCAAGACAGCTAACTAAAGATCATGAGGATTATAAGCATTATGAGGATTATCAACATTATTAGGAATGTAAGAAAGTCACATGCATCTACTCTTTGGCTGAATAAATCAACCAAAACATAAAAATCCCTTATCAAGCATGTTGTGACTTGTGATCAACAGACCTGCTATTCACCTTGCCCACTGTTCAACAGGTACATTTGCAAAATCAGAATTCTGTTACAGAGGCCCAATCAGTTCACTTAAAAAGAAAAGTGTGCACGAAACTAAGGAAGTATGGCACAGACCACGCACCAGTGTGAATTTCAGCATGACTGCAGCAGTCCAAAAGAATCAGCTTGTACACTGAGCTGTGCTACGTGCTCAGCAGAGTCCTTCCAGGCTGAAGACACATTCCAGTCATTACTGTATGGCTACTTATTCGGCTGTGTTTTAATAAAAGAATTTTAATCAAGTTTGAGCTCATTATGCCCAAACCTTGTTAGGTTTTTCTGCAGTTATGCACGTTTCATTTTAGCTTTCTCAGCAGCAAGCATAATCTCTTTCTGCAAAAGGAAAGAGGTGAGGAGCTGCTCTTCTAGCTATCGTTATCTCCTTATATTGGCAGATGAAACACCAAGATTAAAACCAAAGAACTTCCTCTGCAAGCGAAAATTGACAAAAATAAGTTCTTCATTTCTCTCCACCCCTGATCACAGTATGATTCATTTTACTCATTGAGACTTCTCCCTGAAGGTGTACAAGGGCTACAGTCACAACTTTCAATTCAGGTCTGAATGCCCAAAGTCAGGCTCTAGAATTCATATTTAGATACCAAAGTAATGCCCCAACTGTCAAGACTGCAGAGTCAAAGATGAAAACCGCAGAGACTCCAAAATGCAGACATTTTACTGATTTTTTTCTATCCCATGGCAAGTTTGCCTTTTTACTATGCAGAGGACAGAAGCTCAGCCATACCAGTATACTGAACATAAACATGTCTGAGCATCAACTCCTGTCGGAGCCTGAGCTTTTTACAATTTTAGTTATGACTACTTAATATCTAATGCTTACTATATGAGCTAAAAGTCAGACACACCAAAAAAAATACTATTCCTCATGTAAATTACAGAATCAGATGCTTCATAATACTTGAATCCTGATTTTCCCCATTTATCTTGCTTAAATACATACTATAAACTGATTAGGTTTTCCCTGAGCCAATCAGACTGCACAGGTGTTACATGAACTTCTATTCATAGTTCATTACATTTCTATAGATTAAAAGAAGTGTCTATCAAGTGACAATGACAGAAAAAAATCAGAATTCTCTCATAACCTGGCACAATGCTCTTTAGCTCTAGTTATACCTCATAATTAAAATATGTGCATTCCAATTTCAAACTAAAATTCTAATTTCAAATCAAATCAATCAGTCCTGTAGCTCTACTGGTTAGAATTAGATTAATTATTGCTTTCTCTTAATTACTTCTTGGAGATACGTGATAATGACTGAAGTCCCACTGACAATTATGAACATCTGCTGGCTTCCAGGGACAGATTTACTCCCTTACAACCCTGGATTCATGGCCAAACTTGAGATAATCCTATAGGATTAGAGCTCCAGGATCAGCATGTAATGCCAGTTTAACTAATTGACCTCAATGAGACGCAATTTTGGCTCAGGTGGATGGTGCCTGCATCACGCAGATGCCAGTGACCCCAGCTGTACCTGCACGCGCGAGGTGCAGGCACGACCTGCAACGTGGATGGACACAAGCCCCTCTCTCAAGAGAGGGACCCACATAGCACCACATCCCCCTGTGTGTAACCCTAGGACACAGCCACAGCTACACCCACCCTACCTCACCGCAGTACCGTTACACCTGAAACAAACAGCTGAGGCTAGAAAAACTCCTTTTCATCAGTTATGCTGAGTACTACTCAAGCCTGAGAAAAGGCACCAAGACATCCTACTGACTTGTTCTAGAGCTGAACCACACCTTTGGATGTATGTATGTTTTATAACATACATACAAACATTTTTTATGTTCGTATGTATGGTTTGTAAAGTATGCTGAAAACATACTTTATAAACTCACACATTTCCAAGAAGTGAAAGGAGGTGGGAACTCACTGCCCAGTCAGGCAGGCACCAGGCCTCAGTTTGTCAGCTGCTGTCGAGCAGTATTCAGCAACAATCACATAAACATCAAGAAAAAGGCTGTAACTTAATTTCATCAAAAGTAGCCTAACAGAGTTACTAAAATCAAAAGCAAAATACACCAGAAGTAACTTTCCATTTTAACAGATGTTACGGAGTATTAAGCAATGAGGTGAAGATTTTAAAACCCTCTCTGCTTCCATCAGTAATTTTTGAGAAGTTTAGTAGGTGGCTGTGGCTCTTCCTCAACTAACGAAAACAACAGTGGGAACTGGGAGTAGTTTCTGCTCACAGCTATCTGAACTCCCTCCAGTATTGCTCACGAAACTACTCACCTGGTCCCTTCCAAAAGGAAAGTTGCAGTGAAGATGAGAAAACCATATCAAAGGAAATACAGAAAGCCTCCAAGCTCCTGGAAGTGTTCCCTCACTCTCTAGTGAAATTCTTTTCCTCACTTTACAGCTTGCAACTGCCTAAGGACAACATATGATTTTCACAACACACTTCAGAAAAGAAA